GCATGGATGTGGAAATCAAACAACGATCCTTGGTCTTCTACTGAAGATGAGCAATGGACTTCGTATAGTGATGCCGAAAATTCAATCATCGAAAACGCCTTCCAACGAAAACAGGATAAGGTACACCTTGAGAAATATTTTATAGATTTTAGACGTTCGATGCAAATTTCTAACCAAAATAAAAACAGACAACGTCCAGTCAAACGGGTGGAACGAATCTTCGATCAAGAAAGGGAAGCAAATGCGATGCTTAATTCCAATAAGACTGCAACGTACAAATTGACCAGTCTGGGGAATATCGGAACATTTTTATGGGAGGCATTTACAGTTGGGAAGTGGCGTGACGTCGAACTCGAGACTTTGGTTGAAAGAGCAGCACAAGGAATTATTGATGAACGTACGAAATTGCACAAAAATCAAGAAGCTAAAGATATTGCTTACGTGCTACTGGAAGTTCGCAATGGTACACGTGGGGAAATTTGGCGTCGCTGTGCTTATATCTATTCTCTGGAAAGTTTTCTGTACAGGCGAGTAAATGAGGTGTTACGGCAAGTCGGCGTTGCAGAAGATGAAGATGTATGGAGAAATGCATTGCCAACGCTTGGTTTATTTATTTGGTTTCTTTTTGATTATCCTGAAGATGTGCCTGAATACAAGGGTACAGTCCATCGGGGAATGAAACTGGATTCCAAAACTATAGATGAATACAAACATTACTACGAGACAGCTGAAACTCGTCAGTTTGGAAGTTTCACATCGGTTTCCAAGAACAAAGACTTGGCAGAAAAGTTTGGTGACGTACTCTTTATAATAGAGGTTAACTCAAACTGTCGGTATATTTCCATGTTGTCGAAGTATCCAGATGAAGAAGAATGTCTTTTGAATCCAAGTTTTGCCTGGAAGATACAACGCATCGAATTCGATAAGAAAACAAAGAAGTATTATATTTACCTACGAGACATTAATATAAAATAGTGAAATTCCATCTTATGCACTGCACTTAAGGCAGACATTCCTCTTCAGAAACGTTGTGTGCCCTGTACTCGGCATTTTCGAGAACGAACCCAAGAGTCTGACATATTTATCGTGTTATTTGAGAGATGAAGAACATTTACAACATAACTAAAAAGAGATACTCCAGAAGAATAGCGAAAAATATAAACTAGTTATGGCACAAGTGCGTCACAGTGTGTATGCTAATGTAAGTGATGATGCATATGGTAGTGAGGGAGTGAGTATAGGTATGTGAGTCGCTCTCGGTGTTGTCGTGGATGTGTGCACTGATGTGGGCTTGAGTCACAGTGGGGTGTGAGTGTAGGCCTGCAAAGAAATCACCTATTGGTTCCTGCGCACAGGAATCCATACGCACACGCTACCTATGAATATGCAACGATAAAATTATATCTCTTTTGGTGCTCTTGAGCCGCACGCTCATCTTCTTACATATAATGTGCACTAGGTTTTGGGTTTGCATGTTGAAAAAGCTGTGCGTTATTATTTGAAAGTAGTTGTAATTGTGGGTTTCTTTATTTGCCGGCGTGTAAGTGAATTTTTTTGCATGGCTTTACATATGGTTTGTCTGTTGTCGTTTGTGGAAGCAATATATGTGTCTTTGTTGGTATTGGTATGAGTGTTAGCTTGCCTGTAGGTCTATATACAGGCAAGTTATAAGTGATTTGTTTTTCCACTCACACCTAGATCTAGATCAGAAGTACATTCACCCCCACACTCATATCCTCACGCCTAAACATCCACATCCTACACTCATTCCTCTAAACATGATACCAAATACGAGAACAAGAATATATCATTATATTAGTACTGCAATTTCAACAAGACAATTCGTACAATGATTTGATATGTGTTATGACAGGAACGAGAATCCCGTCGATGTATGATCTTTTTCCTCGATCGAAGATGTACGGCCGGATTCTATGGATATTCAGGGTATTCCGGTAGAACTGTAGCAGTAGTTGCTGTAACGTGGAACAGGATTATGAGCTGCTACTCGTCAGAATTTTGTGACTACTTTCTTATCACATTTAGTCGGACACGAGATAGAAAACCGCCGGAGAAATTCGACGACTTTCAACTCGAAAACGTCTTTCTTTAAAGTGCCAAATATAACTGTTTTGTGTAGGGATACTGACTGAAGACCTGGTGGGCGAACCCAGATAACAGACATGCAACAGAAAACAGATGAAACTGATGAATCTTCAGCGACTTTTGGAAGCAGAATTCCCATATTGATCCGGCCTCTGTTTCTGGCTTCGTTCCTACCAATCCCTGAATTCGTAAGTATGAGAGAACATCGTAGAAAATGTGACGACTCTTCATTTTGTTTGTAACGATGTTCTCTTTTTAAAGTGACATTGTTAAAATTTATCTTCGACAAAGTCTTTTGGAATCTGAAAACTACCGTGTCTAGTTTTTTACAAATCTTGCTATAGAATGCATTAGATAGAAAACTTCATTGATTAATGAAGTCATTATCTGGATTTGAGCTAGGCGCTTAACAGTATAGAAAAAAATCAAAAATACGTTGTTGTTAAGTTATTTCCACTAGCCTATAAGAAATTTTGATATATACTGTAATTGAGCATTGGAATCAGCATGTTTAAAAAACACGTTTAGCCCAAATCCATGAAAATGGACAATGTCATCGATAAAATACGGAGTCGGCCGTTGGTTCTGTCACATTAGTTAGTATTTTTCTAAAGATGCATTATTATGGTGACGATCATGTAACTTTATTATAAAAATATGTTAATCAATTTTTGCTAAAATGATCTTAGCAATTGATCTGTATATCGAATTACTAATATTCATCAAGACATTAAATAATTCAATATTTGTAGAATTTTTCTTTTAACTTATTATTGATTTACTTTCAAAGACTTTACAGTATATTAGTCGAGCTATTGGACTAGTCAGTCATATGGCTCTAATAATTTTGTAAGTTTTTTTATCCATTTAGTTCTAGAGTAACCTTTTCTGTCGGTTTATCCGATTATTTTTCACTCGAAGGATTATGTACAATGAATGAAGATCTTTTCAATCTTCTTTTCCATTGATGATTGTTGCTCAAATAGCGAAACCGTTTGTTTACAACAAGAAAATGAATTAATCAAAAAGTAATTGTAGTCGAACCTTTTTTAAATGTGCTTGACATGTACACACCTCAAGATGTGTCCACATTACATAACTTTCTTTTTATTGACGAGCACTCAAATGTAGATATGAGCTATGTATACATTCAAAGCAGTTCATACAAATGAGCACACTTGATGGAATCAACTGTAATAAACCCATAAAAACTTTTCTATTCAAGATCGAAGAATGTTTCTTACTATTGAGGTTGCCTGAATATACTTACTCATATATATTCCCTGTTTTGGCCTGTTTGTTACAGACTTTGTTATTCAAGCTGTGAATTTTTATTGTGAACCGAATCGCTTTTGAATGTCAAACTGAAGAAAAACAAAACGAAAAGCACGTGCAAAATATAATAAATATTATAATTATGCATGGAATCAAATATAGATCTTGAGATTTTATGTAACATTTATATAGTAAAAAGTGTATATATGTAGAAGTCTTTTATTGTAAGAAAAAGAGAAAGAAAATTTTTGATCTTCGAACGACCATTTTCGACCTTAGACTAATGGTACAAACAAAATAGAAAGCGGAAAAGAAAGCCAATAATAAAACCAAAATAATAACATTATAATCTAAATAGAGAATATGAATTAAATGTAATTAAAGTAAGACCTAAAAAACTACACTATACATCAATGTCACTATGTGATAATAATATAACGATATTATATTAAGTTTCAAGATGTAGATTTGATTTCATGCATAATTATTATTATTATATTAAGTAGAAGAACAAAATTTGAGTGATATTTATCTGTTTGGTTCATTAGAGATGAATTATTTATTATTATTATTATGATCTTATTAATTCCATAGTGTTATTTTTAGGCCTGGGTTGTGAGTACACCTACATCCTCTTTAACAGTGGTAGACCCTGGTAGATTCTTTAAATAAGGGTGTAAGTGTGAATTTGAGTAAAAAGACGACACATGTCTATTACGTCATTGTCAGATGTTATTTTTTTTCATAATACTACTACAAAATGATGACTGAATTATTTCACTATTTACCTCTCTTTTGTGACACAAACCACACTATGGTAGATAGTTGAAGAACAACAATTTCATATATGAGAAGTATTCATTTAAAAAGACATAGATATTAATCGGTAACCGCAATATTTTTCTGAAGGAATATAAGTCGACGAAGTGACACTGATTAACAGAAGATTGATCGGAATCAAAAATACATTAAAAGGAGAAGATGAACCACAAAAGCAATTCGATGAAGAGAATCCTAAATTGATTTGTCATAAGTTTTCAACATTATATTTTTGAGTATTTACACATGTTTTCTACCGACATGAAAACATAATCAGATCTACAGCAGCTTAGCACATAGAAACTAATATGAAAGCATTTCACAAGGCCAAAGTCAAAAACTAAGTATTTTCATCCAAAGTCCCTTTTTGGCAGATGAAAACCTTTGAGAATAGTACCATCCGATGCAGAAATCAGTTCTGTATCTAGCACAACAAACTACAAAACCAGAATAGTTTCAAAAACGAATGTCAGCAAATAATACTCGAAACTAAATTAATTTAACATTGATAAAATCGAGCAGAGCAATAAAGGATCAGTTATAGGAAAAAGACAACAACCTACACGTATGCAAGCATTGCTCACCATACATGATTTTTTTTTCTCAATCTTTTCATTATTCAAATTTTCAATCAAAGCTTGCTTGTTGTACTTTCTTGATTCATATAACAGAAATATTTTTTCGTTCGGGTTTATTAAAGCGCACAGGCAGACAATGAAAAATGAAAAAAAGAAAAAGGAAGAAGAACTTTATAATATATGCTTGTTTTTCTGTACAAACAAGAGAAGAAAAGAAAATGTTCAAGATAGTAGAAACGCATATTGACCATCTCGTATCGCTGTTGTTAGTTTCAATTTCATAATTTCTTTTGATGAATAATCTGGCAATTTAAGATAGTTGACACAGGTCATTACACTTGGTAAAAATGAATCCGAATTGGTATTATCACTATTATTTTCAGCTGCTTTTCGAACAATTGTCAATGGAGGATGAAGCATTCGAAAGCCTATTTAAAAAAACACGTGTAAAATTGAATTGCAAAGCAAAAGAAAAATGTACAAATTCATGAAAATTATCCACACCTTAAAAAGTTGTCAACGTAACATCTTTAGCTCCTTTGCTGCTACGGAAAGCATACTAATTCGTGTCCGATATTGGACAACGGTATCTAGGGCCTAGGAAGGAGAAACCACAAAAACCTTGATTTAAATTTACACCCACTATTTTCTTTCACAATATATGTAAGTTTCACAACAAATTCATTGAATTCAATTAGAAGAACAAGATTTTGCTTTATCAACCAGTGGAAATATATATTCTAACTATTATAAATCTGTTCTCATCATTAATACAAAGAGATTTTATAAACTAATTTTGAAACATCTACGATGGAGAAAAAACCTTTCAGTATACTGATAAATTTATAGTCCTTTATTAATTTTTTCCTATGAGTGATACAGAAAGACAATAATGACATCTGGGAAACATCAATCATATAAATTGATATTTATTAAGAAAAAGAAGCACTTTCTTACCTCCAACAGGTAATCGCGGACTACCAGTTACAAATTGTAAAAATGATCTTTGCTCATCAATATCAAAGTTAATCATTATGTCAAAAAGCCATTTAACTGCTCGACTGTTCAAATTATATCCATGATCACAACGTGTTGATTCAAGTAAAACTTTAAGATCCCATAATTCCGTTGAACCACTACCGCAAAATACTTGATGAAGCTAGATTACAAAAAAAGCAAAACAAATTATTTATACGAAAAAAAAAAAGAAAAATTTTATTTTATTTTTTTGGTATACTTCATCGGGATAAAAACATTTCAAATGATTAATAGGAAATATTGAATTAAATCCATCACGAAATGATTCAAATTGACGTCGAACACCTTCAACTAATGTCCAATAGACAACCAACTAAAAGAAATAACAAAAATTTCTTGTAGTATTTTTGGTATTTAAATAAATTTTATGAAATTTTACATTTATATATTGATCAAGATTTTGTATTGTAACTAAACAATCTTTTCCACCTTTTTTTAATTCAATATTTGGATAACCAGGTAATGTAAATACAAGTGATAAATCATCTATTTTACAACCATCAAGTAATAATCTCTGATCATTTTCATCAAATGTATTTGAATATGTTGAATGTTCTAATTGTGAATCATCTTTTGATTTTAAACGTTTTTTATTATTTAATTTATTTATTGTTATTTGTTGATTTGTTATTTGGTTTTGTACCATTATTTTATCACGTACTGATACAATTGTTTGTAATTTTTTAAATTGTTCATATAAATTTGTATCTATATGAATAAGATCTTCAAGATTTAAATTTTCTTCTTCTCCTAGCATCCATTTATAAAAAATAATACTAAATGGCATATCAATCTAAACAAAAAGATTTTTAAGTTTTTTTTTTGTTGAGATTTTAAATTTAAAACTATTTACCATTCTTGAATCCATTAATGCTTTAGCCATAAATTTTCCAAGAAATTTAAATTTTTGACGAACTTTGGTAATTACATTTGCTTTTGCATTACGACCTAATGGTGCAGGATAAAGACCATGACGTGTATCGACATATTCAGGCATTGGTATATCTTTATCTGTAGAAAAAAAAACATCTATGATTATGTTTTATATAAATATTTTAAACGTAAGTAGAATTTTGATTTTAAATAAAGAATATCTTGTTAGTTGAAATTTGCGATAATATTCTATTCAATCTTTCTACAGTACCCTTCTTCGATCAAAATGGATATAAATTTTTTATTATTATTTTCATTAGACTATAAACTACTTGATACCGTTATAAAAGTAATTCTCAAATGAGATCCTTCGATGACGTTTAGTAGACAAACCTTTATGTGAATCAAAAATTCTATCCGTTCTCCATAGTTCTAATCCATTTTTTTGTAATTCTTTTGATAATAATGAATATGCCTCTAATGTTGGACCAAGACCAAAACCAACCTATATAAAAAAGAGAAAACATTCAAATGATTTCATATAATTTCAAATAATAATTTTACTTCATCTTCATATTGAACTTCTAAAAAGTGTTTTGAATTCCAATTATCAAGAATTTTTTCCATTTCAGAAAGTATATTTACTCTTGATAATTTAACTTTTTTTCTTTCAATTCTTGGTGCGACTGATTGTCTATCATTTTGATCATTATTATGTTGTTGTGTTAACATATCTGAACTATCTAAAAGTCTTTGCATTGCACGTTCACGATCAAATGCACATGGATAAAAAATCATTTGTCGCGTTTCAAATGGAAATAAAAATGAACATGTATAACCCATTTCAGTTATCCATGATGGGATACGTCCCATCATAATAACAATTGGATCTTGTAATTGTCTATTTACTTTTGAGGTTAATTTTGTTGATAAATATTCATTTTTTGATGTTAATGTTAATAATAAATTATGATGATTTAACATTGTATTTGTATGACAATAAAGATCATACCAATAAAGATTTAAACTATTTAATATATGAAGTAATGATATAGCATTTAATGATAAATCATTTATTGTTAATATTGATGATAGAGATTCATCTAATGTTGATATTAATAAAGATTTTGCTTTTGGACATTGACCATTTATCCATAATTCATCAATTGTTGTTGGAATAGGTGAACGTTTGGCAGTTTTAATAGGTTTTTTCGAAGATTTTGATGATGAACTTTGCGTATTAGTTGTTGTTTGTCGCAAACGATTTGATGATGATGATGATGATGATGATGTTGTCGTTGTTGTTGTTGTACTAGCAGCACCAATTGCTGTACTAACAGCAGGTACTGTTGATGAAGAATTTGTTAATTGACGATAATGAATTGTATGTACACGTGTCCATATATTAGATGATGACACTACGGATTCATCAGTATCAGTTTCAGATTCACCATCACTATAAACAAATCATATAAAATAACATATGAACATATTCTACAAAATGACATCAGAAAAATGTTGATTTTAGCTATGTCTTTGATAAGCACGTGTTTTTTTCTTAACTGATAATAAATGTTCGTCTCGTATAATATGTTTATTATTGCGACGTATGTATAAGACAATCAGATAAAATTTAATTATAATTAACTTTTTGTTTTACAAGAGTTTTCTGACAAATTTAGAAACATCGAATATAACTGCTGTGTGTCAGATGTTTTCTCATGTGTCTATATAAAAATCGCAAATTGTGTTTTTTACGAATGTTTATCTTCTCGTGTCACGGGGCCTTGGTAATATATGACAAAAACGATTCATATGATAGGTCATAAGAGGAGAACATTTCCCCTAACAGCTGATGAAAAGTTATCGTTCCAGCACATGCTTATTGGAAAGTCGTTAGGGTTGATATATTGCATTCTATGAAAAATACGAGCTCGTTTTAGGCCTATTCGTCGCCCCTATGACGTCACTCTGTTTAGGAAATATTTGCAAAAAGCACATTATATAGATTCAAGGAAACTTTTCTACGTACGTAGTTCTTTGTGTTGATGTACTATACATTCGAATAGCTTGATATAAAGTCATATTATTTGGAATAATATGATCATTAATTAAAAATTCAAGTCTCATTGTTGATGAATGAGCAAGAACATTAATAACATCTTCAGCATCAGATTCATTGGATACTTCACTTTCTTCGTCATCAATGATACCTGATGAATCATCCTTAATGAAAGGAAAACAAAGCAAACAATAAAAACATATAATAAGATTATTAAATTAATTTACATTTGATCCACTAGCTACACCACGTAAAAGTAAATATTTTTCAATGGCTGATACAATTGCAAATGGATCAATTTTCACCGGACTACTATTCCATTGTTTTAATGTTTTACATTGTGGATGTCGAACAAGACTACATTTAAGTTGATGAGTTGATATTAATCGAAGAGCTGAACTATGAACAGATCGACCAGTAACATCATTGACTAATAAAATAAAAGAAAAAAAAGTCAAAAATACGAAATTCTTTTTCTCGGTCACAAAAAGCCCATCGAAACTAATTTGATAGGTTCTAATACGTAGAATCAATTGAGACTCTATTCGTAAGATTTAATTTACCTCTAATAGGAAACTGTTCAAGTTGATTAATACATCCATGTAATTTACAAACTAAATGGCTTAAAATATTTTGATTAGATTTTCCATTATTTAATTGTGCATGATGAAGATCAATAATAAATTGTTTTAAATCTTTTTCATTATCATCTGTATTTTCATAAGGTATATTCATAAATATATTTAAAAATAATTTTAATCTATCTAATCGATCATTTGGTAATGACGTATGATCAGTTAAATATTGAAATAATTTTGTTATTAAACCACTATGTACCATTTCAAATGGTGTTACATCACCTTTAGCTATTATATTTGCAATATCACGTAATGCTTTTGTATTTTCTAAATGTTCTTTTCCAACATGTAATATATCAACAGCTGATGCTAAACGATTTATTATTTGTAAAGCAATATTTGATGTTGATGAATTATTTGAAAAATAATTCGCACGAAAATTTTGTGCTTGATTTTGTATCCATTCTTTTAATTTTGTTTTTTCTTGTGTTGATAATGTTAGTTGAGATTGTTGGCGAGAAGATAAACTAGTTGATATAACTAATGAAGCTGCAGTTGGCGCACTTGTTGCATATGCATATGCTTGTTGTTGTAAATAAGGTGATGGTGCATAAATTGGTGTTGTTGGGCGAGGTCGATTACTAATTGTTGATCCAAAAGGAGATGATGAATCATAAGTTGTTGGTCGAAAAAATCCTGAATTTGTAGCACCACCACCACGTGTGAAACGACCACGACCAATAGGTATTGATGATGATGATGATGCATCCGGAGGTGTTGATGATGTCATTTCATCAAACATTGAATGTAATGATGGTTTAATACGAGAACTTGATAATGTTGGAGGTATACGTGAACGTTGTGAACGTGTTTCGATTTTAGTTGTATTTGATTCTGTTTGATGACGACGAGATGATGTTGTTGTTCGATATGAAAATGATTGAGTTTTTGAATGAGTTTGTGATGTTGAAGAAGAATCATTACTATGTGAATGAATTTGTTGATCATCTAAAACAAAAATAAATGAAAATGAAAAGAATTATTTTGTTTTTTCATTTTTACCAAAAGATTCATTTAGGATAGGATTTGTTGGTGTTGATGGATTTTCATTCATTTGAGCAAGATCAAGTTGACTTTGACTTGTTGTTGTATGATGTGTATGTGATATTGGTAAATTTGTTTGTGATGTTATACCAAATCCAATAAGAATTTCAATTTGATGTACAACACCTTCACGATAAAAATATACAGAAAATATATCAGGTAACTTTTTCATTAAAATTTCTGATATTTGCAATGCACTAATAACAATTTTATAATCACATGATGCAAGCATTGATGTTATATTTGATGATATTGATTGTTGTTTTAAAATTGTTTCAAGTAAATCAGATGATGAATAATATATCATACGAAGTAATGTTTGTAAACAACGATGTTTTACAGCTGGCCCAGCTGATGTATTATAAACTTCATATAGAATAGGAAATAATGATTGTACAAATGAATTATATAATTCAATATTATCTTTTAAAGTTTCTGTTCGAATATCAATTGAATTATTTAATATTGTCGTTGTTGGTTGAGATGATGAATCATTTGTTAATTCATCTGTTGATAATGAAGGAGGTGGTGTTGTAGATTCAACAGGATTAGGTGAACCTGGTGTTACAAGACGTTTAATAAAACGTGCTTGATTAGTTTCTTCATTAATTTGTTGTAATTGTTGTAAATCAAGAAGATAATTTCGACCAGATATAACTAATTGTACTTCTTCTTCATGTTGTTGCCATGCATGTTCGATTGTTCGAGAATCTTGAGATGAATATGGACGTAATTGACCTAAGCGAAAAGAAAGAATTGAATTGGTGTTAGAAACAATGCCAAGTACAACTCGGTCAAAGTTTACATGCAACTGTCGCAAGAGGAACAAAGAAAAAATTTTTATATTTCATCGTGCTTCAAGAGTGCGTCAAGCCTACTATCAACGTGTACGACGGGTATAGTAGTTTGAGTTCATTTTATGTAAGTCTGCCTGGCAAACTTCATAATACTTCATGATGAATTCAAGCTGATCTGCTCGTGCTCTATATAGAGAGTAGACTTGAAATTTTCGCTGTTTTCCTTTTAGTTCATGGGCTTCACCATTGCATCCCTACTAAGGAAATTCGTTTCCACAAAACTCAAAACTTTGACTTTTTTTTACACCAGAATATAATTTTCTTTAGATAACAAAAATAGTTCTCTGCGACTTAATTTTGCTGAGATACAGCCATTTTATTGAAGATCAAAAAATGGTTTCTTTATATGAAATAAGAAAAAAAACTACATTAGGGGCTTCCATAAGATTGCTGTATCTTTACTGAATAACCTCGCAGAGAACTATTTGTTCTATCTAAAGAATACTATATTTTAGATGTTGAAATCCTGCAGGTTTCGATTTTCTAGAGTCTCTACATTTGACAACACGAAAGATTTTTGAATTTTTATTCTCTAAATTTAAGTCTCAGAAACAAACCTTGATCATCTTGCCAATACCACAAAACATAACCATTTGCACTAGCATCATATCCTCTTCCAGCTCGAAATAATTGATCAACTTGAAATAATGGTTCATCAATTGGTAATTTTGGCATCATTTCTCCAATTAATGAAACAATTTCAAATAATTCTTGTGGTGTACGTGGTATAAGTTCAATATTATTTGTTTGTTGTATTGTTGTCATATTTGTTATTGTTTCATTCATTGATAAGGCAGCAGATTTATATGTTATTGATTTTCTAGTTAGAATTTTACCTTCAACTGAACCCGTTAAAAGACATATTAAGGTTTCTGCTATATTCATTTTAAGTAATGTAACAGCAAGTATTGGACAATAAGCCGAAAAAATATAAAGCATATGAATAATACTAACAAATGTTATACTATTTATTAATGATGGTTGTACAATAATCATTGTTTGCATTGTTTTAAGTAATTCTTGTGATGCTAGTTCACATAATATTGCTGAATCACGATAAAAATTTTCTACTAAACGTGTAAATATTGAACAAATATGTTCAATAGTTTTTTTATCATCCGAACGTAAACGATTTGATAAATTTTCTAAATGTTCACGAACATATTTAAAATCATTTGATGTTACTATATGTATACAACAATTTGCAACTATAGATAATGCTTTATGTTGTGATGTTATGGAAAAAAAATCAATATATTCAAGACATGCACCAATACCATCCTATAGAATATTTCAAGAAATTATTTTGTTCTTTATTAGTTCTATTTAAAACTTACACAAACAAGAATTTGTTTTGCATTTCTTTTTGATATCATATCTAATGCTGTTAATGCTTGTTCAGCTATATCAATTGATGTTATACTTCGTAACTAAAAGAATAATAATTTAAAGAAAAGGAATTGATCAAAATTCACCAATTTTTTCTTATGCTAGAAACATTGTAAAATGAAAATACTTGAGCAGTATACAACAACTACCTTGATGTCAGTTCACTAAGATCTCGGTCCTTTTGTGGACAAAATTTTTCTTTTAATATTAGAACTATTGGTGCTTTCCTTTAATAGAACAGATAATGAAATTTAGATAACGTACAACATATGCGCAATTTTTATACGAAGGCTTACAGTATTTGATCATTGCATAAAAGAACAAATCTGAATCAGTAACTTCATTTGTTTGAATTAAGATAAGACTACGATATAATAATAAATCTATCCTTGAATATATTTGATTTTTATTATATTTTTTGGAAAATTATTTGTCCGATGAGATTTTTAATGAATAGCTGTATACTACTGAGGTGTTTTCATTTTATAATGTTTCCAGAGAAGGGAAAAACTGACGATTTTTTATCAGATTATTTTACTTTATTTAAAAATATTGGTGTAGCTTCAACAACTTGAATTGCTGAGCGTGGTAATGCTTCCATAAGATATGTTAATGCTCGACATGCTGTTAAAACTATTTCAGCATTTGCTTCATTTTCATCTGCTAAACATTCACGTAATGGTGGATAGAGTGCACGAAATTGAAATCCCGGTAATGTATCTTCATTACTCATAACAAGAAACTTTAAAAAACAAAAAACAATTTAAAAAACAAATTCGTTTTTTCTTCTATTATTTAACTTACAGAACATAATTCATTAAGTGTTGTTAATTTAACATCAGGATCTGATGACTAAAGAAAAATAATATTATACTTTTTCATATGTAAATTTCTAAATATAATTACTTGTAATCCTTGGATATATTGTTGTAAACGTCCATTAATTGAACTTCCGCCTCCAACTCTACTCATTAAATGTTGAACACGGCCTGATAATGTATGAAATAATGCTGCACTTGCTGAACCACTACTTGCAGCACTACGAGCAAAACTTGCATCACTTAGAATATCACGTGCTGTTGGACTATTATCAGGATCAGTATCACTTTCGGTTGACATTTGTATAGATTGCTTGGTTGTTCGATGAGTACTACTAGCAACAAATGGAGAAGTTGATGATGTTGTTGGAACAATACCAGAATATGTTTGTGCTGATGATGATGACGGCGGAGGAGATGAAGAATTTTGATGATAATACGCAGGAGAATTAAATAAATGTAAAGGATTATTTGGAGATGTGACACCGGTATTATTTGTATGACACGATCGGCTATCTGTACCGGTGATATTGGTGACAGGCACCGATGAACGACTAAAAAATTACAATACAAAACAATGTATTCGTTGTCTTATAAATCAAAAAGGTCAGTGAGATCATCATCACATGGCGAGAAACATATTTACACACATACATAATAAATAGGAGAGAAATAAAAAGAAAAGATGATGTCCATAGTGGAAGAAATACGAGCAGAAGAAAAACTATTGAATTTTAGTATTCATACAAAATAATTAGCTCGAATTTTATTATTAATTTTTACTAGACTTTCAGTGGACTTTCAGAGAAAATATCACACTTTATGTAGTTATTGATCAATAGTTGTCGCCAACAAACTTTGATGTTGATTATTGTGTCATGTTTTTTTTTTCTCTCCTTTTTCTACATGAAGCCAGAACGAGAAGAATGGCTTTTTTTTCTTTTATTTTTTCTTTCCTTATATGTATGGGTGCAATTACGCGAGTGCGAACAGACGTCTTCGGTCGCACATCTGTACACCGTAGTAACAAAACATTAGCTTGCGAAATGCTTTGAAGCATTCGCAAAAAAAATAAATAAATAAAAAAATAAGCACATGAGTTTTTTTTTAATACCTAGAAGACGATTGACCCGTTGTCAAATAATCAATATAAGATTTCGTTGTATAACGACGTGATCGTCGATTATTACTAGTTGAAGGATCACTTACAACTGTACTTTGTTCTCGTCCGCCTATTTTATATGTAAATAAATAAACAAGAGAAAAGTTAATTTAAACTTGTATTTTTTTGAATAAATTTCTTTTTTTTCAACCTGTTCTTCGTCTAACACAAAGGTTCCCCGTATCTGTACTTTCACTTCGTTTTTCCGAATCACTTTGTTTTCGTCGATTATGATGAGAGAAAATAGGTGCAGAATTTCTTTTGGATTTTAATTGATTGCCTTGCTCTTCTACTTCTTCTTCTTCGGATGATGATGGTCGTTGACGTTTCAATGTTGTTATATTTGATAATTTTTCACTTTGTCTTTTACGACGTCTTATAGTACTTGTTGCATGAACAGTACTATGACGAGATGATGATGTTCGTTTTCTATTATCTTCTTGATCTTCGTTTATATCAGAATCAGTTTCTATTCGACGCTTATTATTACTAATTGAAAGGGCTTCAAGTGCTTTAGATTTTGCTTGACGTGCAGTCGTTGTTGGTTGTTGTTGTTCTTCTTCTTCTTCTTCTTCTAGAATAGCACAGAAATTTTTTTGTTGTTGATAAGAATAAAACAAAAAAAAAAGATTTTACCTTCTATATTGAATTTGTTTATTGTTGATTTTCGTTCAGCACTATGGAAATATAATTCCAATAAAATTATTAGAAAAAAAATCATTATATAAACATACGTTAATAATCTTAATGAACGTCTAGTCGAAGAGCTCGAATTGTTTTGTATTTGGGCCATTCGAGACGATGTTGGACATTCGAAAGAATAAACTATTATTATTATTATTTCGAGACATTGAACATACTAGAGATCGATCGAGAGTTCAATATAATAAGGAAAAAATAGATAAATAAATAAACCAAATGAAAACGATGAAAATAAATTTCCCAAATGAAAGTAATATTCTGTTGTTCAAATATATGGCAAAAAATTATAAAAAAAACCTGAAACAATATGTGTTTTTTTTTGTTTTTTGTAATCTAGAAATATCAAATACTAAAAGAAAATTTTTATTACTCAACCAAGAAAGAAAGAGAAATCAAAAATGAACAATATGACCGATGAATAGGAGACAGGACTCAATTGAAATACCCCATTGGATGATTGTTGTATGTGCATTGATTTAAGTTGAATATGCATTTTAATCAGCTGATGCACATGTTTGTAAATATTCACATGAAGAATACTACGAATTTTGTTTTCGTTGATAAATAAAATCCTTTTTCATTTTACATAGTGCGAGAAATATTTTTTTTATAATATGAGTCATCAGTTATTATTTGTAGAAGTTTAACTTCTAAAATGTAATGTTATTATCTGATCTTATAAAAAAAAAGAATAATAATTTTTTTCTGCTAGAAAATATTCTTTTCGTATTTTTGATCAAATATTTAATTTCTAAAGAATAATACAACAAAAAACAAAACCATCAGACTCTTTATTGACGTATCCTTCTTGAGAATATTTTGATCTACTAAATTTTTTCGAAAGTGTATGCATATCTCTCGTAATTTTATATGGCAAATCTGTTAATGTCGTAATTCGTGAAGAAATTGTAAAATTGACTTACGTATGATGAATTGGTTTACACCACCTATTTCAGAACAATCTATTAACTAAAAATAGTATCTTGTTTTCCCCATGAATCATCTTAATATTTTCATATTGAGTAATAAAACGTCAATCATCACTGTCAATATGAGAAGCAATATCTTATCGCAAAATAAAAGCATGATATTTCGAAAAGTGAAGTATTTGGAATGATTATCACAGGGAAAGTTCAGCAACAAGAACAATTACATTCTAAAAAGTTCACTATGACATTCAAGAAAAGGTCTTAAAGTTACATGAAACTTTAACGAGTTCTCTCACGAACATTTTTAGTTTCTTTCTGTGTTTTCGAAAAAAATACTGAGAAATTTTGGTAAGGTGCCGTGAATTCGAAATGTGAACAACAAATTCCTTTTCCATTGGTGCATACGACGCGTCGAATCAACTATAAAAATATTATTTTTGACATATTAAAATAATGTTTTTATAGTGAAGCTTAGTAAATTGAGATTTAAAGAACTCGAAAATGTTTATAAAATTGAAATATGCCAAAAGTATCAAATCTCGGTTGTCTCATTATTTATCCAACTTGGGTTTTTTATCTTACTCGTCATTCCACGGAAAGTTTCTTCGAAAACAGAATGTGGTCGATCGCGGTTTTAATGAACCGCAAAAGTTAGACGGTTTATAGATATATACACACGATGAAAACCGCTGTGCATTGATACCACAGTAAGAATAAAAAACTTGCGGTCCAAGTTACAAAAAATTTATGTCGGAATGCAGTTGCCTCTGTTCTCCCTGGTGTACATAAACGCATTCATAGTCTGGCTTTTGTATTTAATTGGCACTGCGGTTTTCTCAGAAAACTTTTTCTTTGAGTTATGGTTAAAAAAATGATGAATACTTTTTGACAAATATTCTTTGATTGTTGAGAAAAACGTCATAAATACGAATTTATATTCAAAGATTTTTCACCATCAAAACTTTTGCATCGAATATTATACTCAATATTTAAAATTAATATTCGATAAATTTCGATCCTCATACATTCTCATTGTTGTTTTCGAATACTTTGATGTGTGCTTCAAGGCTCTGTGTGGAATGGGATGGGACGAAAAAAGTCGTCCCATAGTACGAACTGTCACGACCTGTCCCACCCAATGAGGAACCTTGGTGTGCTTTTCCTAAGGTCGAAATTTGATGAAAATTAGTTTTAAATATTGAGCACACTATTCAATGTAGAAGTTCTAATGATTAAAGCGTTAGAATAGAAACTTGTATTTATGGTGTTTTACCTACAAATCGAAAAAAACAATTTTGATAACAATCAAATGCTATTTTTCAAAACTCATGCATAATTGTTTTTCCTAACCACACGACAAGAAAATCAAAAAAAATATTGGATAAATGTTGAGAGTACCAAGACTTGATCTTTTTGACATATTTCAATTTTTATTAGTTTATCTAATTTTTTTTTAATCTAATTTTTCTAAGTTTCATTACAACAGCCTAATTTGAACAGCATTTTTAGCGATAACTCGGCGAACTTTATTCAACCATGAAAAAAAAGAACCAAAAGAAATTTTATTCAAGTTTCGAATTGTCAACACCTTATATAGGTTCAATATCTTTAGTATTTGGTATTGATGGTTGTTCTCGTTTATTCGTGAGAGAATTCTTTATCATTATGTACAGTTGTAAAATCTTTTTAGAGTTTCATAGTAAATTTTTTTTCAAGTATAATTGTATTTGATATTGAAGTTTTCGTGATCAACTTACTAATCGTTAATGATTCTGATCCCCTGATATTTCTACTCATTAAAGACATCAATTGAGCATTCGTAGAATGTTTATCTTATTTCATAAATATGCAAATCGAAATGGAAATATATAAATAGATATGCAATGATGCCACCGATAAATATGTTCTTGAGATTTGCAAGTGATCTTTTGTTTATAAGACTATCCACTCTAGAGAATTGTGGGTTGAATTTATATTCAATTTCATACTTAGTTTTAATTCAGCTTTCAGTATGAATAAGGAAGAACGGATGCCAGTCTATCCGGTTACAACATTTTGGCTACGATTCAACTTAAGAATGAACGACTATTTTCAAAGTGTAGGAAATAAATAGCTGAAATCTTGATCCTTCATTTAATCATGTAGGCAGAGAATACCAGATATTAGTAAAAACAAAAGATCGAGTATAGACCTGATCGACTGTGGATATAGAGAAACCGCTTACCCATGCACCATTATGGAAAGACAAATCTTAATTTAGAAAGAAACAGACGAATTATTTTAATATAATGAATTATTTCAATCAGAAAGTTATAAGAACATATTGTTGAATATATCATTGCATTAATACTTATATACTGAATCAGCATCCTGATGAAAATTCTTCATAATTATTGATAGATATATATATATTTATTTATTATTTACTATCATTAAAAATCCTTCACCAACAATAAAAACAAAAAGAATTAATTTTTTTTTATTTCTGTAAAATGAAAATACAGAATAGATAAAAATGAGTCTTTCATTAATCTACAACTTGAAACGATGTAAATTGCCAGCCTTCTCTAATTTTATCTTTTTCTGATGGCCAATCAGCAGATTTCGAAACCCATTGCCCCAAATATGGCATACAAATATTAAGAATTTCATCAGCATCAATATCATCTGGTAAACATATTCCTTCATTTGGATGTTTAATACAATAATTAATAGCTGCAACAACACTGATAGCTACTTGTAATGTTGTTGCATTTTGTTCAGGTACTAATCTTCTTGCTTCATGAATATCAAGTACACTACCTGCCCACCAAGCTTGTACATAGCGACCACCAAGTAAAAGAACACCAACTTCATCAGTACCTTCAATTATTTCATTATTTAATATACGAAGTTTTGGCTGTAATTTATAATCATGCATACGAAATTCAACTAAAGAACTTATTGTTGAATCCGTTGGTAAATATGCATAATGAACAGTTGGTCGATATAAAGCTATTTTATCATTGTCATCATTATTATTTTCATCATTATTATAGACTGTTAAATATTTTGAAATACCATATGCTTCACCATGTCTTATAACCATACCAATGATTTCACCGCTTGGTACCCATGAACGAATCTAAATAAAAAATATTTATTTTGATTAAATAAATCGAAAAGAAAACATAAGAAGAAGGTGATTTACCCAAGTATTCATTCCTTTTGTAGCTAAACAAACTTGATTACATGGACCTGTTTTTTCATTATGAAAGAATGTTCCTTTCGGTATTATTTTTTCGTGTGTTCCCCATCCCATTTCAGCTGGTGCAATTCCTTCTTCAGCAAGACCATCAATTGACCATGTATTAACAAATTCATTAACTTTTTTTGGATCTTTTGTTAATTGTGTATCACGTTCAGATATATGAATGGTTTTAATATCTAATAAATAAGCTAGTTGAGGATAATTTCTTATTTTTAATGCATTCTGTAATTTTGATCGTTCATCAATTGAAATTAAATTTTTCTTATGATCAAGTATATATTGTGCCATATCAATAAGTGCACGTTTAACAAAATGTGAAACAAGTCCTGGATTACAACCATGATCAAGTATAGCTGTGGGACCATTTTTATTCCATTTAATATCATTTTGCATTTCAATTAATTGCATTTGCCGATGATATAATGTTAATAAACGTGGATCATTTTTATATGCTTCACCAAATGGTTCCCATAATTCAACAGATGTATTAACAAAACATACTTTATGATCATGACACCATTTTAATAAACATCTTGTTTCAAGATTAACAGCAAGATCAAGAAGTATATCACCGTTTGATAAATATTTGCTTAAAATTTTTTCATAATTTTTTTCCGTTACTTCTTCTTGTTGATAAGTAACTTGTTTATACTTTTTATGATATGGTTCAATTCTAGCCTGTTGATCGATTACATCGATGATAGTTATAGAATTGACTTGTTTTTTTAATAAAAAATAATCGATTAAAAGTGGTAGTGCACATTGTGATACACTACCGTAGCCAATAACCAATAATCGACGTGGAGACGATTCCACTTTGAATGAGAAATGTTGAGAGTCTATTCTCGGACGATAAATGAAAAAATAATAAAATGATTAGAAGACAAATGATTTAAAATGGCAGAAAATCGG